GAGAATATTACTCTAAAACAAGAAAATTTATTTTAATGTTTAAATACTTTATTTTTCTAAATATTTTTATTTCTAAGTGATTTTCTTTTTTAAGTTAATAAGCTAAATGTTCTATATGATGCACATAATTAAATTCATGATTAGCTAACATTTAAACATAAAGAGGTGGTCTCTTTGTTGTATGTAACACTTTGTTGTATATAAATCTTTTCTGAGGTCCTGTGCACTGTAAGAATGTAGACATTATTAACCTTAATGTTCTATTGAAAAAAAATTTAGGAACAAAGAAATGTATAGTCAATCTAGAGCCTGAGCAGGGTGGCATAATGAACTGCCTGTTTTAAAGTGATAAAGACTTCCAAGAATTACATGTAGGTTCCAGAAAGAGAAAATTGTGCATACGTGTCCAAATGAAATGGGGGTAGGGATGAGGGAGACCTAATGATTGAGTTATAGTGATGTTCTAGATCTGAAAGAATAAAGTTTTTTTAAAAAATCAACCTCAAATCCAAATGTTCCATTCTGGTGACATTGCTGGTCAGGGTTCCCCTATCCCAAATCCAGGCTCCCCAAATTAATCTCATATGTGGGTTAAGAAAAAACTCTCTAAAAATACATGGTGATTCTCTACACTAGGAAGCTTTAAATCTCCAACCTTTCCCCCCTTTTTAAAAAATGAAAACAAAACAATGGATCTTCAATTCTGTGTCTGGGATCTCAAATTTGGCTCTGAATATGTGTTTCAAATCTCATTAATTACAATATTGGTCCCAGGAGATACAGTTGCTGATGCAAAGAACACTCTTTGTACTCAAAATAATTTGAACAAGGGCAAAGAAGCATTTTATTTACATGTGTAAACATTTAGAGGAAAATAAAACAGAGATGGTTCAGGTAGCTGCTGAGCTGTTTTAATGATAATTGATTTGATTGCTTAAGCTTCAAGGTTACTATATACAGGATACATACACATATAAAAGTCATGTTTTCACTTTGTATATTTGTCAGATGAGAACATTCTTATAAAGCTAACTCTGACATTAACTTGGCAAGTTCTGAACTAAGACCTTTTAGCATTTCATTCTTTCCAGAGACTAAAACCAAATTGTTCTCAATTGCATACCCCACTGTGCAGATCTATAATTTATTTATTTTTTAAACATCAGAAAATATGCCATTACCCATAGGACTTCTAAATGTAACAAATCTGAGTAAAAACCAATCAAATGAATAAATTACAGCAGTAGACAGCAAACAGTTTCTCCTGTTCTCTTTCTTCATTTTCCTTTCTCTATAGGAAATAGCAAATTAAACCATGGCTATTCGTGGTCTTGCACTATGAGAACACATATGGGCACACATTTTCATCCTATAAACAAGTTTGTTGGCTTGGTGGCAGAAAGTAAAGTACACTGTAAAGACATCTTAATGCCTTACTTGAGTAGGGTCATTTGTTAATGCACAGCCCAATCTAAGAGTCTTGTACTAAACTCTTATGGTACCCACTGACTGTCTTTAAATGGATACTGAAGAGCAAAGGCAGGCAGCCCTGGTTATACGCAAGAACCACTTGGAGCTTACAAAAAAAAATGCAGGTACCTGGGTCCATCCCCAAGGTTTCTGATCCAGTTAGTATATAAACAAACAAACAAACAAAAACCAACAACAATGAAAATAAAGGCAATTCTAATGTGCCATGATTGAGAACCATAGTTAAGACTTGAGTCCCAACACCAGTGCAAGGATAGTATCTACTTTGTTTTTGGATACTAGGACAAAACCCACCCTTAGTTCGTTTTTCTAGGGGCAGGCAGGAGGGTGTCTGAGAAGCTGCCAGAGCTCTCTGAGAACTGACAGCATTCTCTGAGCAGCATCTTTATAGGGAGTATCCTATGAGTGACGGAGCCTTGAGATACTAAAAATTTTCTGGATTAAAGCCAATGGAAGTAGATAATTGAACAACAAATTACACAATGCTAACCTTAAAGTTGAGTCTGTAAACTGTGGCAACCTTATACACATTTGAGCATTTTGAGAAAAAGTTCATTAAGAGAGGCTGACTGGCTCAGCTTCGTTTCAATCACCCAATCATTGCAGGTCACTAGAAACAAAAAGGAGAGTATGAATGCCATATCCCAACCACCCAATCACTCTAGGTCATTAGAAACAGAGAGGAGAATTCTTAAGTTAGAAATGGCAAATTACATCTCTTGGAAATTAATCTACTTAAGCCAATGTATTTTTTCCCCCACTTCCCCTCCTCATTTCCTTTATTGGCTTAATTTTTGTCCTTTTAATAAAAGTGCTTTTTATATCTTTTTTTTTTTTTAACGATAATGTTTGTCCTCTACTACTTTTAATCTTTTGCTATCACATTCTATGGCTTCTTCATTTAATCCTGTATCTTCTAGTCTTCTCATCTTTTTATACCTCCCTTTCCCCATGTTTTTTTCCTTTTCCTTAACACCAGTGTAGAAACTACGTCCTCTTCATTTTCCCGTCTTTATGTTTGGTTGCCAACCCCATTTTTGATTCTCGACCTCTCATTTTTGCTAACTGCCCTTCCTTAATCTTGTGTTGATGTTTTATTCCTATCACTTCTGTCAATGCTCACACCCATTTCTTTCCTTTCCATCTATCTCTATATCTCCATATGCATTTTATGATCCTACTACTAAATGCTTAAAGCTGTATGTGTGTGGAATAGAACTGTACTTTCCTCCACGCGAATCCTATTTCCCTCTCCTCCCATAGCTACTTCTTGTCTTTTCATCCTTTCCAGATGTCGCCCTGTCCCACCCCCATCTGTCCCCTTCTTCCCCGTGTGAAGCCCATCTTCTTTCTAACCCCATTTGCACCCATCTGATTTTACAAACATTTCAACAACATAAAGGATGCAGAGTTCTACTGGGAACCAGGTTGTGTGTGTTTCTGAAACTTTTGCGCGTTTACTGAAATGGGATTAGGGATTTGGATACAGAAACATTCTCGGGCAGCCTTTCAGCCCTGGCACAGCTTTGTACACCTTGGGGCGCCCTGGGGCCTATTCTAACGGGCAAGGACAGGGAAGTCTTTCAAGACCTTTTCTGGCCTTTTCCACTCCAGGGGTCAGGATGAATAGCCATCACCGACCCAAACTGTTAAACCAGGCCGGGTGGGGAAGCCTGGGGCCCTCTTCTGCGGCAGATCTGGCGGGGTGTCTAGGGCGCCGCGGGGCTCCGTGCAAGGAGGGGTTAGGGCAGGGGCCGCTGCGGCCGCAGGAGTCACCGGGCCTCCTCGGGAGGTCCGCTCACCTCTTACAGAGGAGGCCGACCCCAGGCCGGGTGCTCCCCTGAGGCGTAGGGTGCGGCCCCGGGCGCCACCACCGCAGCGGCGCCGAGGGCCGGAGGTGCAGTCCTTCCCCAGGAGAGAAGGCGAGTCGCTACCGGCCGCTCAGTCAGAAGGTCGAGGGAATAGCGCGGGTGTCCCTCGCCAGCCGGCCCTCTGGGAACAAGGCGGGGGCGACAACCCAGGGGGTAGGGCTGAGGACGGCAGAAATCAATCGTGGGTACCGCCGCGGGGTCACGCATAGGAGAGAAGCGGGAGAGGGGCTGATCGGGGCCCCAGGGCGGCTGGGGCCGTGGCTCTGTCTGTAGACTCGGCGGGCGCCCCGAAGTCTGGGGCCGCCACGGCTCCAGCTCCGCCGGCTCCGGCCGGAGACTCCAGGCCGCAGTTTCTCCTCCTCCCGGCGCCTTCTCTCCAGTGAGGAGCCGAGCGCGGGCGGCGCGGGGGGAGGGGTGGCGGCAGAGAGAACAGCCAGTTGTTTAAAATCCTTCTAGAGCAGTTTCTAATTCCCCCCTTGCGCCCGGGTTCGGAGGGGGGAGGGGGAAGGAGAGCGGGTGGAGGGAGGAGAGCAGAGAGGGAAGGAGGGAGGGAGGGAGCCGGGGAGGGAGGGAAGGAGGGAGGAGACTGCCGCTGAGGCTGTAGCCGCCACCGCGCGCTTCGGAAGGCCGGAGGGAGGGGGAGGCCTGTCAGTCTCGCGCGTTGCCTGGGCGAAGGGGGCGGAGCTTTGGCGTGGGGCGGCCAATAGTGGGGGTGGCTGCGTGGGTCGCCATGGGGACGGGGCTGTTCCCGGGGAGGCTGTGATGGGTTGACAGGTGCGTGACAGTGGGAGCTGCTCTCGGCACAAGCATGTACGGCAAAGGCAAGAGTAACAGCAGCGCCGTCCCGTCCGACAGCCAGGCCCGGGAGAAGTAAGTGTCTCCGCTTCTCACCCACCTCCGCCTTCACACGCGCGCACACTCACGCACGCACTCGCACACTCTGGGAGACACAGACACTCTCCGCCCGGGGAGCGCCGGGGGTGGGCTGGCAGGGGGAGGGGTGCCGCGATGGGGGCGTGTGGTGCGGGGAGCGGCGCTTTCCCTGGAGGTGCGGGCGCGGGGCGGGCGGCCGCAGGGGGCTGTCGGCGGCAGGGAGCGGGTGTGTTGAGGGGCGGCGGTGGTGCTGGTGGCGAGGATGGAAACTTGTTTGGGTGATTGAGGGAAATAACCCGCGGGTTCACCTTCCAAAGTAACTTTAGAGCTGGGGTCCGGGGCTCCGGGGACCCGGGGAGTCGCCGGGGGTGGCGGGAGGGGCAGCTGCGTGTAGGAAGGCGTGCGGTGGGAACGTGGGTGTTTGGCGGGCCGGCCAGGGTCGGGGCCGGGGTCGGGGAGGGCCGCGCGGGGAGCGCGGCGGCGGGGGCCTGGGCGCTGGGGCTCAGGGCCGCGAGCGCGGGGCGAGGCGAGGGCGGCGGTGCCGGGCGCGCGGCGGGCGGAAGCCGGGCGTGGAGCGGCCGAGCGGGGCCCCGCGGGGCGCGGAGACGCGCGCGGGGCGCGGAGGGCGTGGGCTGGGTGGGCGTCCGGGCTTTCCTGGGCAGCTACTGACTCGGCGCCCGCAGTCCCTCGGGCCGCGCGGGGCTGGGGCTGGGGCGGGGGCGGGGGCGGGGGCGGGGGCGGGGGCGGGTGGGCGCCGGAGACGCCGCAGAAGTTTGGGAGTCGGAGAGGGACGAATTCCCGGGGAGCTAAAGTGTGCTGACGAGGAGCCGGATCCGCTGGAGGAGGCTGGCGTTTCTGCCTCTCGCAGCGGACCCAACTCCGCGGCGGCGGCTGGCGAACTTTTTGTGAGGCTGGCAGCCCCCGAGCGGTGGGAGGGGCGGGCCCGGCGGGGCGGTGGTCGGGGGCGCGCGGAGGGGAGTTGTGGGAGCCGCCGGGGGCGCCCGAGGAGGGCAGCTGCGGCGGGGAGGGGCAGTGGTCCGAAAAGGGGTTTGTGGGAGGGGAGAAGCGTTCAGGTGGGAAGGAGCCGCTTGGTTACAGTTGTGGGGAGATACAGGTGTTAACTTCGGTGGGAGCCCAAGAGGCGGCTGGCGAGAACAGAGCCCCTCCCGGCCCGGGATACCACTGTCACGGCACACTGCAAAGCAGAGCGGTTTGCTGCTATTCTTGTGCACTTGTAACGGTGATTTGGTTGTTACTAAAAATGAGAACGAATAGTGACTGTGACCACTGAGGAAGAACCCCCCTCCTTTTTATTTTTTTTTAATTTTTTAAAACTGTGCAACAGATCGGTGATTCCCAGTAAGCACTTAAACTCTGAGGGTCAGGGTTATCCTTGTCATTGAACGCACCCGTCTTTCTGAGGGGGTTCAGACCAGAGAAAAAGTCTGAGAGCATCTCTGAAAGGTACTTTGGTTACCTTGCGCACAGAAATAGCTGCGTAAATAAAAACCGAATGCGCAGGCGACTGAGTTTCCCTCCTTGCTTTAGGCAGTCAGTCTCCCCCTGAAAGTTTCGTGTGCCCTGGGGATGGGAGCATTTCCTAATCTTTGTGTTGGCAGCAACACACTCAATTCCCATAGGATTTAGAGGTATCAGGCCTTGATGTAGCAAAGCAAAACAAAACAAAAAATTAGAGAGGCTGGTTTGTTTTTTTTCCAAGAGATTTTCTGAGCTGCATTCAGGATTTTGTTGCTGTGACAAGGAATGTATAAAAGACATAGAGTTATAGCCTGGTTAAGAAACGGCAGTTAACTAGAATTGAAGTTTTGAAATGCTGTCTCATTTGTGTGCATTAATCATTTTGTTATAATGTGCCTGATAAAAACATCTGAAGGAGGATGTTTTAATGATTACAGAATATTTGAATTTCACATTAGTCAGAGTGAAGGAATGGAAATATATTGAGGCATAATCTTATTTTGGGGGTGACTGAATTTGAGAATCAAAAGTAATTTTAGATTTTAGGTGAACTCCCAGGAAGGGGTGAACTTTAGCTGAATCCCACTCAGTATCCTGATGACTGTTTATTATTTTTTTTTTAGTTTTAGTTTTTTTAGTTTCTCAGATAATAACAAGGAAGTTGGAACTTGTGTAACTGTGGTCCTTTCTAACTCTGATTCTGTGATTTCCCATCAGGAAAACAAGTAATTGCCACTTTGCTGTCAAATCTACCAAACTGAACACCAAGTAAGATCTACTCTTGTGAGCAGATGAGGGTTCTGCTAGATGGTGCTATTTGATTTAAATATGTTTCTTCCATTCATTTCAGTTGGCAGCAGGAATTCTTGACTGGTTTGCCTTATGAACTAAATATAGGTGAAGAGGCCGCTTTTGGAGAATTGACAATGACTGTTCTGGGTTAATTGTCGTTGCATTAATTTCTAGGTGAATGTTGTTTGAATCTAAGACAAACATCGATGTAGGTTCTGTCTTATAGAATAAACTTAATTTCATTTTGGTGGGAGAGTTGATCTAATCTCTTGGTTTTTCTCTTTATGTTTACTTGGACTTTAATGGCACTATTCTGCAACAGTGTACTAACGTCTGAAGGTAGGAATTTTGAAGTCATTAAAATGGATGTCACCAGATTTTTGTTCTTAATTTTTAAGGTAACAGATTTTAAAAGGTGAAGAATTCACCTTTAGTAAGCAAATTAGAACTGTTCTTATCTTGAAAATCACAGAAATAATTTTTTTTCCGTAACAAATACGCATTTTAACAAAAACATTCTGCAAAAGGAGTCATTATTATAAATAATGGCATGCTTAGGAAATAAGCACATTGGTTTTATAATCTATCAAGCAATGTGTTTTCTGACATGAGTTCACAGTGAATTGTTGACAAGTGCTTACCTGTATTAGATCTTTGTTTTGTCTTTCATTAGGAAGTCACTATATGAAATACTTGAAGTGAATTCTTGGTTTGACATAATTCCTATAATTTCAGTATACAGTTCTGAACATAAAAATGACCAGGGTAAGATGAGTTACTTACTCTGTCATTTTAAGAAAAGCAGATCAAGTCTTAATTATAGAGGGAGTGATTGAAAACCGTTGGAGGGAGGTGGGATGTAGAAATTGTAATTCTGCTCTTGTTAGGTCATTTCTTCCTTTAGCAGGCTTTATAACACTAATCGCAGTTGTAATTAAATAACTATGGTTGGCTGTTAATGTCTAACTTTCCCTAAAATATAAGTTTCTTGAAGGTAGGAGATGATCTAATTTCTTATCTGAGGTATCTTGAACATTAAGGTGCCTTCTAATATCAAAAGCATCAATAATTGTTATTGAAGATGTTAGACTCAAAGGAATTTTTTCAGTGACCTCCAAAATAAAGACTTGTAAGTTTGAGTTTCACATTCTCTAGCTTAGTTGTATTTCAGAAATACCCCTAAACAACAACACAACAAAAATAACTATTATATATATGCCATCCTGTGTGCCAGTCACTATGTTCAGTGTTTTATGTATATATTTTTTTCTAATTCTCCCAACAAATCTACAGGACGGGTGCTTTTATTTTTTCTCCATTAAAGAAATATGAAAACGAAGGCCCTAAATGGTTAAAGAACTCACCGAGGGATACCATGCTAGAAAATAGGAAAGCTGGGTTTCTAACACAGATTTCTCTAACTTTAGAACCTGTGGTTGAAGCTGAAAGATACATTTTTCAGTGTACCAGATTGTCTTCCTGAACTAGGGTAGGATGCTACAGATTTAGGGAACGGCATTACATAATCAGATGTAACAGACTTTAAAGATTTGATCAAATATGCAATCTTAACCACTGGTGCACCCTGATGCTTTGCAGATATGTGTATGGTGTGGGAGAAGGCACAGAAATTTTAGGAGTGAAAATTGGAAGCCTAACATAATGAAGAAAACTTGTTTCTTCAGATTCTCCCCCCCCGGAATTTGGTTTGATTACTTGTTTTAAAGTTAAACATAATAGTTGTGAATAATTCCTATATGAAATGTTGCTAAACTTAAAGCCACCCAGTATGCCACACTGCAGAAAGAGTAACTGGCACCTGCAAATAGATGAGTAGTGATACTAATTTTTTTTATTAAACTAATTTGATTCTTTATGTAATAGCACAGAAAGACGAATCTGCTAGAAAGCAAAGTTGGACATAGAAGATACACATAGTATGCGTCGACTTTTATTTAGTAAACTAGCCAGAAACTACAAGAATCAAACTATCTAATCTTGAGCTCTGAAAAGTAACTTCAGCTTTTAAATTTTCAATCTTACTTGAATATACGAAGAAGCAAATACCATATGCTTATTTCAAAGTAGTTATAGTGTAATGAACATTTAAATGCCACTTCATATAAAAGAGTTTATAGGGATTAATATCTGCCAGCATCACCTTGTTCTCCCCTTCTACCATTAAAGTAATTAAAGCATTCCCCCATCATTAAGGTACCCACTGCAAAGAAAAATGACAAACCTTTCTTCCTTTCTGAAGGAATAAGGCGAGAAAAGTAATAGAGATCTTTTCAGAAACTTATTTGACAGCAACTGGCTCAATTCAGGGTTTCCAAAACTAATGAAGGAGTATCTTATGGAAATGAAATTTTGTATAAAATATTAAATTGCCCCTCCCCCTTTCAGTCTCCAGGATGTTCCCCCAAAATACAAGTTGTTTAACTTGTATCCGAAATGTCATATTAGCTTTTGATTGATCGTTCTCTGTTATTTTAGAAGTATCAAAAAAAACCCCTATTTTTAAGGAAGGTATCTAAAGAAAGAATCTGTGTAAGATGTTCAGTTAAGTTTTAGTATTGTTTATCCAGAGATTAATTGTGATTCTTAGTAGTAGTAGTAATATTGTAATTTTTTTTCAGAGCTGTGAAAGAAAAAAGTTGAAAGTTTTTAGTTTCATACTTTCAAAGCCAGTTTGCCACATAAAACCAATTTAGGATGCAGACAGAATCACTACATTTTAGTTGTTCTGCAGTAATAGACCAAATATGCCTTTCATCTTTAATCACTACTAGAATTATTTTGTTTTAAAATTAGAGCATACTGTGTGGGGCAGGGGCTGGAATACCCAGGTTGCAGTTTATTAATGTTTATTAATATTTCACCTCAGTAGTTGAGAGTTAAAAGAAAAATTTGGGGAAAAAACAATTCAAATTTAGAATCTTCTTTCTTCCATAGAAATCGCAACCATTGCATTAATCCTGGGACATAGGATTAGGACAAAAGTACTGAGTTTGAAAGACATGGAACTACTGGGAATATGTAATTTAAAAATAGGAATTCAAAATTATTTTGGAACACATGAGGTTATTCTCTATTGTTGTGTGTATGTTATTGCTTTGCCATTGGTATGGGAATTACAGATTATATATTTGCATGCTAGTGACGTGAGCCTCTGTAAACATATGCTAAAATATTAATATTAAGAACTTACTGTTTCTGAAAGGGTGGACTTAAAATAGCATTGGAGCAATAGAATAAGATTCATTTGTTAATATCTGAAGCATTTGGAATATAAGTAATATTCTGATTTTAAATGTTATCAAACTTTATGTGTATTTTACAAATGTAATGTATTCATGCAAGGTTTTGTTAACATGAGTGTATAACCTAGCATAACTTGGACTGTGAGAGTTACTTGACTATTAGATTAAAACCCTATACATACTACAAAAGGTGATCTGAAGGGTGGTCCACCAAGATTAATGCCTTGCCTGTTTTCAGTAGAGAAATAGCAGAGGCTCTTTTACAAACTATATTTTATTCCTTGTGTGAGAACATTAAAAAACACGTGGAAATATGGACTACCCAGGGAAGAATAGAGTTTTTCCAGATAACTTTAACATTTCTGATTGGTCATAATTGGTAAACGGTAATTTTTGTCATGTAGGTTAATAGTTAGGAATTTTTGAAAAGTGGAAGTATTAATGTTTTTCTAATAATTATAGGACCAAAAATTCATCTGAACTCAAATCAGCCTGGGCAGTCTCAATGTAGTGGAGTAATTAATATTTATTGTTTTGTTCATTTTTTAAAGACAAACTTCAGTCGGTGTCACTTCTTTAGAAATGACAAAACTACTCTCATCTTTTCCTTTAAGAATGTTAATTACATTTCATGTATGACCCTAAACAGCTTTCAGACAATAATGAGCCATTGTTAACATTTTAAATCACAGTTCAGCTAGAGTGAGCATAAACGAATGACCTGGCAATCTCCTATTTTTGATCTTTTCTGTTAATTTTGCTTCATGGCTATAATGTCAAACAAGTAGTTCAGCCCAGAAAAAAAATTGTAGAGGCTAAAATATAGACTTTTGTGTTTTTTTCTAGTTTTAAGTATTTTTGTAATTGTAGGTGTTAAAGAGTATGGTTGTAATTACAAATATAGCTTTATTTTTAATTAGTTTTGAATCTACAGCATATTAAAATACTGATGAAATATTTGTAAAGGCAAGAATAATAGATGAAAATATATGTGGCTCTGTCCATGTAAGGTGAGGAGGAATTGATGCCAGAAAAAGGCTCTTACCTGAAATTAATATGATTTATTTTAGTGATCTGATATTTGCCTGATTCTCCTTTTATCTATTTTAGATAAGAAAAAACCAAGAGCTGCTTTATTAATGGAAGAAATCTAAGTAAATATTCTATTAAAAATGATCTCATTTTAAGTAGGATTAAAGTGAGTATTTTCTGTAAAATAACAAAGTCCTAAATAGTATATAAAGAGTTTGTGGAGTTTTATCATAGAAAATTATTGCTTAATAGTAACATTAACAGCAGTGCTATCATTTGAGTATCTTGTTTGTTTGGCACTTGTCTGCATTATCTCGTTTAATCCCCTCAAATCCAGTAGGTTGTAGGTACTATTTTCTCTTAATGTTGTAGAAGAAATAGAGGCTTGAGTTTATTAGGCTTTTGGCTTCACGTATCAAAACAGGAGACAGAAAACAGCTTAATTGATCAGGTTTAAAAGTAAATCTCACATAACAGGATGTCTGGAAGTGGTAGTGTAAGAGTTGATTCATTGAGTCAAGAACATCAGGGTTCAGGATCGAGTTCTCTGCCATCCTCATGGTCTTCCTCTCAAGAATGTAGCAGGCTGCCTCAGGTTCCCAGCATCACTCCCTTGCACACTCAAGTGTAAAGGCAGGAGGAAGGACAGGGTTTTTCTTTCTTTGTGTCTCATCAATCAGGGAGGAAAACTTTTTATTGAAGTTGCTTAGGAGACATCTTCTTATCCATTATTAGAGAGAACTACAAAATTTCTTCCCCTAAACAAATTATGCTAGATGTAATGGGATTACCATAATTGGCTCACGTGAACTACCTAAACAAAACTTGGGATCTTTAGCAAGGAAGATGTATTTTGAGGCTATAGGGAGAATAAAATGAATCCCTGCTTTCGTGAGACTTTCAAGTTTGAAGGAGAAATATATAATAATAAGCAAATAAATGTACTAGGCAACTTCAAATAGTCATATATACTATAATAAAATAGTGTGATGTAGCGTAGAGAAGGATTGGGAGGCTATGTTAGATTGGGTACTCAGGGGAAGGTTCTTGGAGGAGAGGACATTTAAGCGGAGAACTGAGTAATTTTGAAAGAACCAGCCATAGAAAGACCAGGTTACAGTGTATCAGGCGTGTCTAAACTATTGAGGAAACTTCTCAGCATCAACATAATTGCTCAAGGATATGTTAAATGTGAGTGAAAATTGGGATGAAGAAGCTATACTTCCCTGGTTTTGTTTTGAACATGGAGGAATTGGGTGTTGGGTTCAGTTTATCTGATCTTCCTAGATAATAGGGTTGATGTCTTTTATCTTTCAAACCCTAAGGATAAACTTGTTCTAAAGGACAGTGGGGCTTTTATAATGATGATGATAGAAATGACTAAGATTTATTGAACACTTACAGCCTACTGGGTTAACAGAGGTTGGTACAATTGGCATTATTTTTCCTAAACCTTCTAGATTAGATTGGATATCCTCATAGCAGACTCTTTCTTATTTCTTTTTTACATTTATTATAAATAACGAATTATTTGTATTATTATTATTTTTTTGAGGCAGAGTTTTGCTCTTTTGCCCAGGCTGGAGTGAAGTGGCGCAATCCTGGCTCACTGCAACTTCCACCCACCCCCTGGGTTCAACGATTCTCCTACCTCAGCCTCCCTAGTAGCTGGGATTATAGGCATGCACCACCACACTTGGCTAATTTTTGTATTTTTAGTAGAGAGGGAGTTTCACCATGTTGGCCAGGCTGGGCTAGAACTTCTGACCTCAGATAATCCACCTGCTTCGGCCTGCCAAAGTGCTAGGATTACAGGCGTGAGCCACCAAGCCTGGCCATTTGTGTGATGTTTAATGCCTCATCTTCCAGTTAGATTGGAAACTCCAGGAGGGCAAGGACCATGGTGTCTTCTTTACCATCATATCCCCACTGCTTAGCACAGTGGTTGCAAGGTTTGTGATTATGTATTTGTGCAATAAATGAGTTAAGGATGTAATGAATTGGAAATGTGTTACAATAGTGTATCACCATATCTAGCTCATTTTCTCCCCAATACGCCTAGTATTTGGTGTAAAAATTAATGTAATTTCTAAAAAACATTTTTCTATAATATGGGCATTTAGTATTCTTTCTGTGAATTTCAGGACTATGGAAGATTATATTATGATGAAATGTGTGTATATTTTTAATGTGAATTTTTGACAGAATTTTTTTCATTTTCTTCATGTTAAATTTAATATAAATGAAATTGTACTTTATAATTTTCAAAATATTTTAATGTATAGTACTTTGTTTTACTTAAGTCACACTATAATCGTATGAGCTAGGTGGTATTTCCATTGACTAGTAATATTTATAAATGGAGATTGACTTATGCAGTTAGAGTCATACAGATAATATGTAGCAGACCTGAGCCATATTTAGAGTTTTTTGGTTCCAAGGTCAGTATTCCTTTCTTTATGCTACAGCTGCCTCTCTTATGATGAGAGATTCATATATATTTAAGAAGGTTTAAGTGTGGATTTGATTCAACAGAGAATCATAGATTAGATGATAATTAAAAGTTTGTCAGTACTTTCATTAAAGAAAAAATATTGTTATAGTGTGTTAAACACAATCTGTAAAATTATTTACCTCCAGAAGTGCCACATCATGACTAAACGCTGATTTTTGTTTGAAATCCTTATGCTTTTGTTACTTAAGTGGCTAGGTACGGGACTTAGGATAGTTTTGGGTTTTGAATTTGTTAAGACAGACTAATTTTTATCAGTGAACTCTTTTTTATTCCTTTGCCATTTAGCTTCAATTTGGAGTGCTGGATTAGGGGTAGGGAAAGGTAAGGTTTTTTTTGCTTTTATACCTCTCTCTAACAAGGGAGGAAAAGTCTTTCAGTATGAATTGTTGAGAGAATGTTCTTTTTCTTTTTTAATGTGGTAAAATATATGTAACCTAAAATTTACCATTTTAACGATTTTTAGGTGTACAGTTCGGTGGCATTAAGTGCATTCATATTACGGTACAGCCATTGCCATTCTCCATCTCTAGAACTTTTTCATGTTTCCGGACTGAAACTCTGCACCCATTAAACAATCACTCCCCACTCTCGCCTTCTCTGTGCCCTTGACAACTACCATTCTATTTTCTGTCTCCAAGAATTTGACTCGTCAAGGTATCTCATATAAGTGGGATCATACAGTATTTGTCTTTTTGTGGCTGGCTGCTTTTGATAGCTTAATCCCTATAGCAACTTCGTAAAGTAGATATAATCCCCATTTTACATATGGAGAAACTGAGTCTCAGAGGTTGTGTATTTTGTCCAGGGCCACAGAGTAAATTGTATAGTCTGGATTCAAACTCAGGTTTCTGACTGCACTGCTCATTTTAACTATGTTGACTCAGTATATTTCATCGCTTAACATGGGGGAGAAATTGTAATGGAAGTTGTGGGAGGTGGCCTGAAGGTGCTATGGGATTCCTGAAAAAAGGCATTGAATCTAGCCTAGGGCTGTGAGACTGTCAGGAAATATTTCTAAGAGGATGTTTATTGAGAGGCTAGCATTAGTCAACTTGGAAGATGGGGCAAGTAAAGGGTATTTTAGCCAGAGAGAGAAGTATGTACAGCAACACGAAGGCATTAAAAGGTATGATGGGAGGGGAATGTACATATTCACCATTTTTAGTTGGGGTGGGAGGCAATAGAGGTTAAGAAGTTAAGGGAAGATTAGAAGCATTTTATATCTGCTAGAAAGGGGGATAGAATTATAGGTACCAGAAGTGCCCCACAGATAGCTACAGATTCTTTGGCTGGTATCTGAGATTTAACAACATGGATGTAGGTGCTCACCAGAGAGGAAGATGCCAATTAGGAACTCAGGTTATAATTTCAGATAGAGCTGTTTCTCATTCTGTAACTAGAGGCAGAGTAATCCGGCATAAGTTACTTTAAACTTTGGAGTCAGAAATATGTGATATCTAGGAAAAAAGGATCCTATAATTATGAGTCTCTTTTGTTGTCTCTTCCAAGCAGCATATGGCCTGTTGGACTTTTTTGTTTTGTTTTTGGACAAGGGCACCTGGGAAACTCCATGTGATACAGGAGCAGTAGTACAATCATATTGGTACTGTTACCTAGTCATTTCTGTAATACTGGCTATTAGAAAAAATAGAAATAATTTCTTTGTTTTATTTTTTTCACATTGTTATATGCTATTTGTCATTTATAATTGGATTAAAATTATTTGATGATTATACATTATCAGTATATTTAAGCGGTAGCTATCCTGGGAAGCTATTGTTTCAGTACTTTTTTTTTTTAACCCTGGATTAAACTTAGTGACTGATACTGTTATTCCTTCACTTAGCACTATTGTAATGGAAAAACTTGAGTGATTTTCTTGCTATCAGATACATTACACATACATATACACACATATGTGTATGTGTGTATGTCTTGATAGTAGTTTTCAGGTAGGTGTTCATCTTGGGAATGACTTAGTAATTAATTTTGAATTCAGATTTTACTGAGTCAATTATGTAAGTAAGTGAGTTGGACTTACGAATTCAGTGCCAGAAAGATTAGGGTATAGGCAAGTTTTTACTGAACTATTAAAGGTTGTTGATGCTTTTCTATAAGATAGGAGTATAATCGACAAGAGTAATCATTGACAAGATAACATAGAAAGTACTGGCAAAAATGCTGCTGGCTGACAAAATGCTCTTGGGTTTGTATTAGGTCCCCAGTAGAATAGCAGAATGGCTCCCTTGAAGGGTTAATTGTATAGAATCATATAGAATTGTACAGAATAATAATTGTATAGAATAGCCTAAGAAAAGAGAGCTTCTTAAAAGGCTGGATTTTGCCAAAATAGCATTTAAAATGTTTTTAAAACTTAACTATTTTATACTGTAAATGTATATATATATTTTATGAGATGGGAATCATATTTATTCTGCTATCTCCCTGCTCCGTTATTCATTAAAAAAATGTTAACCGTCTGTTACATGTCAGCCTCTGTTGAGCCTTCCTGAGTTAGATCTTAATAACCTGGCAATCTGCCCATCAGGAACTCCCCATTCAGAGGGGCCTCACTATCAGCCACTACCACCCTGGGTAGCAAGCACTATAATGGGTATGCTGAAGGTGCTATGGGATTCCTGAAAAAAGGCATTGAATCTAGCCTAGGGCTGTGAGACTGTCAGGAAATATTTCTAAGAGGATGTTTATTGAGAGGCTAGCATTAGTCAACTTGGAAGATGAGGCAAGTAAAGGGTATTCTAGCCAGAGAGAGAAGCATGTACAGCAACATGAAGGCATTAAAAGGTATGATATATTTGGTGAACTACAATAAAGCTCATAGGGATAAATCTGGCAGATTGAATACGAGCTATTTCAAGAACAGCCTTAAATGACAACTTGACTTGGGAGATAAGCATATTTTTGTTTTTGTTTTTGTTTTTTGGAGACGGCGTCTCACTCTTGTCACCAGGCTGGAGTGCAATGGTGTGATCTCGGTTCACCGAAACCTCCACCTCCTGGGTTCAAGCAATTGTCCTGCTTCAGCCTCCCAAGTAGCTGGGACTACAGGCATGCGCCACCATGCCCGGCTAATTTTTGTATTTTTGGTAGAGATGGGGTTTCACCGTGTTGGCCAGGCTGGTCTCGAACTCCAGACCTCAAGTCATCTACCCACCTCAGCCACCCAAATTGCTGGGATTACAGACTTGAGCCACTGTGCCCGCCCCGAGATAAGCAATTTTAAGCAGAAAAATTACACCGTCTGAGGTACATTTTAGAAGAATTGTTTTGGAAATCATGTGGAGCGTGGAGTAAAAGGGGAGATAGATCCATTAGGAAGCTATTGTTGTAACAATACAAATGCTTATAGTGTCATCATTTTTCTACACCAATACAGTAGACATTTCAGAATGTAGAATAGATCAGACCTGGTGGCCTAAGTGTGAAAATCAGGATTTTTAAAGACGGCTGCAATTGTTGGTAGAAGTTTTAGTCATAGACTTTGGGATACAGGAGGAGGAACAGGTAATTTTAAATGTGTAAGGAGGAAGATGATGAGTTTAGTTTGAGATGCCATTAAGACCTAGCGATAGAGAAGTTTGGGAGGAACTTGGATATGTGGCTTTTGAGTTCATGGAAGAAGTCTAGGCTGGAGATAAAGAATTGAGAAAGGATAAGTGTGAGGAAACTAAGGCTTTAATAGGGTAAGTAATTTAGCCAAAGCACACATGTTAGAGCTGGAATCTGAACTCAAGGTTTAGTTTATTATTTCTCTCTTTTAAAAAAAAACCCGATTGAAATCTGACATTCATACAGAAAAGTGCATATATCCTAAACGTGTAAATTTGATGAGTTTTCACAAACTGAACACACCAGTGTAACCAAGTACCCACATCAAGAAAAAGAACATTACCAGCACTCTGGAAGCTTCATATGTGCTACCCACCTTGCTTGATTTTTAACAGCATAGATCAGTTTTGCTTGTTTTGGCTACTTATGTATGGCCCATTTGTTTTTGCATCATATACCATTTGAAGGCATGAAATGGGGATAAAGCCATTCTTCATGGGAATGTGCAGGGAGAAAGTGTGAGGAAATCAGAGATGGAAGTTCGGGGAATATTTAAGGTATAGGTGGAATAAGAGTTTGAAATTGAGATAGAAAAGAACAGAGACATATGAGGGAAACGATAAAGGACTGGCATCAACAGAAATCAAGAAAAGGGAGTATTGAGAATGGAAGGGTGAGTTACCATGCCAGATTTGTAGAATGAACAAGAAGGTTAAACAGGGCCGAGGTTTGGTTTCGTTTTGTTTTGTTTTGAGATGGAGTCACACTCTGTCGCCCAGGCTGGAGTGCAGTGGAGTGATCTCGGCTCACTGCAAGCTCAGCCTCCCGGATTCATGCCATTCTTCTGCCTCAGCCTCTTGAGTAACTGGAACTATAGGCACCCACCACCACGCCCGGCTAATTTTTTTGTGTGTGTGTTTTATATTTTTAGTAGAAACGGGTTTCACCGTGTTAGCGCCAATATGGTCTCAATCTCCTGACCTCATGATCCGCCTGCCTCGGCCTCCCAAAGTGCTGGGATTACAGGTGTGAGCCACCACACCCAGCCAAACAGGGCTGAGTTTTTAAGAAACCATCTGTGACCTCAGGGAGGACAGTTTCAGTGGAGTGAACTCAAGTTAGCATACAGGGTTTTGGGAAATTGATATAAGATGAGGTGGTGGAGATGTCAAATGTGGACAGCCTTCACTGGAGAAAGGAAGCATAGAGAGAAGACTTAACTGGAAGGGGACATATCTTTTTTTTTTTTAACTTGGAGAATTTTGCAAGGAGGGGCAATAGTTGAGGGAATATTTTTTGGTTTTATTGTGTTGTAAAGAGGTTTTGTGAACTCCAAAGTATTTTAAACCACTTTTATTATCATTAAAGGATGACAATAATGGGATGCTACAGGGGACATGGAAAGGAAAGCCAATAGGTAAAGTGATTTTTAGCTTTAGTTAGATTGGTGTTGAAAGTGACTGAGTGTATGAATTTTTAAAAAGTGATTTTTGGGATGGATTACACTTGCTACCTTTTGTCAACTGATTTTTAAAAACTTTTTGAATTGTAGGAGATTAGAATTAAAGGGATCATTTCAAAGCGATGACTAGAAAATAACTGTGGTACAATGAAGAAAACTAAATTAATAGCTGCCCACCCTGGCTACCAATCAGGCTATTAGCCTGTAAAGCAAAAGTTTGATGGGAAATTATTTTTTAACTCTCCCTTGGTTAGCCAACTCTAACTTTTCTTTAGAATTGTATCTCTAAATTTCCTTTCTACTTTTTAAATTGGTAGAAGAGACAAATGAGAATACCTAAATAAAGCCCGTATTTACAGAGCACCAATTGAGTTCATTTGATTAGCTTACTAGTACTCTTTAAAATACCTTTTATTATTTGAGTAATAAATATTCCAAGAAGAAAAATTTAGAGATACAGATAAACAAAAATGAAGAAAATAAAAATAATCATATAACCTTCTAGACTTTTTAATATCCATACATGCATATACAGATTTTGATATTATTTAATAAGAAAAAAATCAAAGCCACTTGACCAAAAAGCACCCTTTTAAATACCAGGAGAAAAGGCAACAAAAGATAACATTTGTGAGCATGTATTGATTTCCAAGTTCCAAATACCTCCCTCAAAAACAAGTTTTTAAAAAAAGTTTAAATTCACTTACTATTCATGTATTTATTAACTACTTTTTTCAGCATCCTGCTCTGTGCCAGGCACTGTATAAAGCAGTGGGCAAGGTAAACCCTGCCAGAAAACCAAACAGGGCTTTTGGCATAGGGCCAATTTTGCGCTTGGAAGAAGTCCAGAAGTGAGAGAGATGGTGATAGTTTCTAGAAGCAAAGTATTCAGTAGTGCTGTCGTGTGTGTGCGCGCGCGTGTGTTTCAGGGTAGTAGGATGTTTTTGGAAAAGTGGTAGAGGCTACAGAAATAAGCAATGACTAATTCTTGAAAGCCAGCCTAAGAATTCTGAACTCATCCTGAGGCCAGTGGGGCCCACTCTAAGATTGGGAAGCGACCTGATCAGAGTTTGTTTTCTACCACCCTGAGAACAAGAAACAAGTAATCTGAAATACTCATTTCATTTTACCCAGGTGTAACAAAACACAGAGGGATTGATAAATGCCTTTTGTCATTTTTAAGAGGATAAGCTTAACCTCAGAGAAAGGCAAATGTACATATAGAAGTGATATAAAGTATGGTTTATTATCGATGTTCTATTTTATGATAAAATTAATATTTTTCTCTGTCAATAGGGAAGTTTATAAAATGTTGTGAATTATCATTTGTAAAGCATGAATTCTTTATTAAAATTATCTTATTATTTAAAAATATACAGTCAGTCATTTCTATCTGTAGGTTCTACATCTGAGGATTCAATCAACAGTGGATCAAAAATACTCGAAAATCAAAAATGGATGGTTTCCTATTCACTGATCAGTGTAGACTTTTCTTCTTGTCATTAGTTTCTAAACAATACAGCATAAGAACTGTTTATATAGCATTTATATTGTATTAGGTGTTATAAGTAATCTAGAGATGATTTAAAGTATAGGGAAGGATATACATAGTTTATATGCAAATGCTGTACCATTTTATATAAGGGACTTGAGCATCCATTGATTTTGGTGTCTGCAGTGGGTGGGGGTGGCCCTGGAACAAACCCCCTATAGATATGGAAGGATGACTGTATTTAAATTTAAAATTTAAGTAATTAAAACAAAGTTCTATGTAATATATTACTAATAGTATATTTGACTTTTACACAAATCTCGTGATTGTCTTACAGAGCTTTGAAATGCAACTGATAGTATTTAGGGCTATTTATTTTTTGTTGTAGTTATCAAAGATACAGTAAATTAGGTTTATCTCTATGTATTTAATATAATTTGCAACATCCAGCATGAGAGGAATTAAGTAAAGTTTACAGCCATTGCTGTTCTAAGCAAAATTCTTAAGTGCTTTGATCATTAATTTAGCATGCTTATATTCATTTAAAATCGGCAATGAGGAGCATATGCAGGTCAACTTGATTTTTCTCTTGGTAACTGGAATAAAGTGACATTATTTGAAAAATCTTCAATAAAGGTAATGATCTTGGTATTAATTGTAAATTAGCTAGTTATTGGTAGGAGAGACAATGATTGCACTGGCTTCCATTTTCCTTTGCTAGTTGATTATATGGTGTGTACTGGGATTTGTTTATGTTATGGATATATACTTCTTGTCTGTTTTGCTTGTCTTCTGACAAGTCTAGGAGCTTTGAAGTGTTTAAGAATTGTGTATGTGTTGTAGTGGCCTGGTGTCACTTAGGATATACCTGAGAAATTGTGTCAAACTGCAAACTGAAACCAAAGTGAAAAATAGTTTAGTTTTGCCAGCCCTTTAAGGTATTAAAGATTGCTTAAAGATACTTTGTTATGTTATTCATTTTACTTACCACATTTTTTCTTAGTATGGAAATTTTTTTTTTGTTAATATAGAAGTAATACAACAAATTAAGTAATGGTGTTTTTATCTGTGTATTTAAGGAATTATAAAAGGCAAAGAAACAGGTATAAGTTAATGTCAATTTTCCATGTCTACCAATTCACTTAAGTAGCTTTAACCCAAATAAAACAAAGGGTCTTGACTCTTGATTCTGATCAGAAAATGTCATCCTTTTGTCCATTTACTTTAATAAGTAGTTATTTGTGGTACAACTTGCATATTTCTGATTGTTTCTGTAGTTACCTTTGATTTTTTTTGGATAATTGCAAGGCTGATGATACTTTGAAAATTTTTGGACTTCCTTTCCTTTGACAGAGAAGAGAATAGTTTCGTATCTTTTTAAATGCATGGACATTTAACTATTTGAAATAAGTGCTATTTAGTATTCAGGGCCCTATTCAGACAAAACTAGCAACTGTAACTGAGGCTTATGGGAAGTTTTCAATTTCCTAAGTTATATTGCTATA